TACGCTGACCCTGGGAACCCGTGACACTCTTGCAAACATGTTTTAAACGAGTGTGCGCGGCGCTGCCTTCCATCTGTGAAACTGTTGCGACGCGTTGAGCTTCACAGTCATACATGGTGAAAAAGTCTCAGGCGAAACGCCCGGGCCCGCCCTAAAAACTGGCCTCGGGGTGCGACAGGGAGAAGTTGTTCATGGTATAAAGGAATGGAAAAAGGAGGGGGAGGAGCAGGAGGAGGAGGAGGAGAAGGAGGCGGCGGCGGAGGAGGAGGAGGAGGACAGGGAGGAGGAGGAGGAGGAGGAGGGGAAAAAACATCAAGAAACGGAAGAAAAGGGAGGAGGGGGAACCCCTACTCATCCGATGATCCATCCCTATCTCCGTTACCCGTCCTCTCCCTTTTTGCCTTTCTTGCCTGTCTGCTTTGGTTCCTCCTTACCTGCATCCCTCCCTCCCCTCTCCTCTTCTTCCCCCTTCCCCCCCCCCCGCGACCACGACGACGACGGCGGAAACGACGCCGACGACGACGTCGACGCCGGGATTGCGCCTCCCTGCCATGAGAGTAGATGAGGATATAGTTCACGAGGAGGAGGAGGAGGAGGAGGTTTTCGGAGCTGACTGAACCTCAGCGCGCCTAGCGCGCGCATGTTTATATACATGTACATACCTATATATATATACATACATACATACATACATACATATGTATATATAAACATAAACATATGTATGTGGATACATATGTACATACAAATGTATATATGTTTGTATACACATACATATATACACACACACCTGGGGGCGTGGCCTGGGGGGGTCCGCTCACGGACCTCGGCGGCGCATGGGGGGCCCGGGGCCTTACTTTCCTTCTGTTTTAACATAGTTTCGGCGACCCAGAGCCAACAGAGCCCCAAGAGGTTGCAGGGAGCTCCAAGGGCTGCTCCCGCCTGGTGCCAGAGGCTTCCCACAGGCCTCCCAGAGGCCTCCAAGAGAGCTCCCCGAAGATCAAACATTTGGTTTTGCCATAGTTTTGTCCACGTTTATCTCCACGCAGCCTGTTCTGCATCCCCACGCCGCACGGCAGCCCCAGAGGACGCCCAGTCCCGGTTCGGCCCCAGAGGCTCCCAACCTTGTCCCCAGATGGCTCCGCATGGGAGAATCGGCGCGCACTTTCCCTCTGTGTTTACAAAGTTTCGGCGACCTGGAGCCAACACAGCCCCAAGAGGCTGCAGGGAGCTCCAGGGGCTGCTCCTGCGTGGTGCCCCCGGTTTCCCACAGGTCCTTCAGAGGCCTCCACAGCTCAAACATTCGGTTTTCCCGTAATTTTCCACGTTTTCTCCACGCAGCCTGTTCTGCATCCCCACGCTGCACGGCAGCCCCAGAGGACGCCCAGACCGTCCCGGTTCGGCCCCAGAGGCTCCCAACCTTGCCCCCAGATGGCTCCGCATGGGAGGATCGGCGCACAATTTTCTTTTTGTTTCTACAAGATTCCGGCGACCCGGAGCCAACACAGCCCCAAGAGGTTGCAGGGAGCTCCAAGGACTGCTCCCGCCTGGTGCCAGAGGCTTCCCACAGGTCCCCCATAGGCCTCCAGGAGAGCTCCCAAACTTAAACACTTGGTTTTCCCATAGGGTAATTCTCTGTTGGGCCGGCAGTTTCGTCCCCCACTCCCTGGGGTAGATTTACCGCTCCGGTTCGGTCTTTATCTGTTTGATTCGGTACCATCGCTGGTTCGCGGCCGTTCGATTCAGCCTGGTTCAGTCCAGGCAGTTTTGGAAACTTCTTGCAATGAAACACTGCGACGGAGTTACGCCAGGAAGGAGGCAGCACAGTACGAGATTTCCAAGGCTCCAGGAGGGCCGTCCGTCAGGACCCTCTGGAGCGAGATCCGCTGTCGATGGCACTGTTTACCGTGGCATCTTTTGACGCCATGATGCCGTGACTTGAACCTAAGTGCGCGCGTAGCGCGCGCGTGGTTCTAGTATATACATATATATATATATATATATATATATATATATATATATATATATATGTATGTACATACACATACATACATACATACATACATACATACACACATACATACCAACAAACAAACAAACAAATAAACAAACAAACAAACAAACAAACATATTTACATATACACATACGCGTACACATAGACATACACATACACATACACATACACATGTAAACATATATACATGCATACAAAGTGTTTGGGAAGGGTGTCCGGGGGGTGGCCAGGGAACAGTTATTTCAGCACCCAGCCTGTAGCCCTTTCTGTTGGCGGCTGTTGGCCTTCCCGGGCACGTGCGGTAGACTTTCAAGTTGCTCTTAGGCGGCCCGAGGTCGCCGAAAGATCGTTCCAAGACGCCGAAGATTGTTTCAAGACGGCCCAGGAAGCCCCCAAGACGCCCCATGAGGCCCCCAAGAGGATTCTCAACAGGGCTTCCACAGGCAAAAATGGCCCCGCTCCTTTTGGAACGTAAATGTTTGGAAGATTCGTCTCTGGAGCCTTCAGAGCATCCAGGAGTCTCCACCCTGTCCGCATCCCCGTTGTCCACCGCGCGCCACAGCTCCGCGCTGAGCCGCGCAAGCTGCGTGGAAATATCGCGCGTTGCTGCGCGGCCCCCCAACGGGCTATGCTCGCGGAAGTACTGGAACATAGCCATGGGGGTGAGCGTAGAAAGCTCCAACCCCAGAGCACGAACGAGGTTTTTCGGAATGGATCGAACCTGTGGCCCGTGTAGATCGCCTTCGCAGCGCGCTCCCACGACGGCCGCAACGCCTTCGGGCGCACCCACCGCGACGCCACCAACGAGCACGTCATCCCGACCTTTCGCGACGGCGACCGCCAACTTGCATTACAACGACGCACGGAGTTCCAGACCATGTCGAGGCCAGCGACGGCGCGCTCATCATGCGCAACCGCGAGGGGGGCCCCATGGGATGTTCGAACGAACCCGACACATTCATGAAGGTCTACAGCCACCAGCTTGACACTGCGTCGACACACCAGCATCACGCTCCAGTCGTGCGTTCTCACCTGGGACCCCGACGGGCCAGTGCAGAACCTCAGCCGCCAGGTCTTCGTGGAGGACACCCTGGAGTTCCACATCGCTCCTCGCGTCGGACCACGCAAATAAGCCACCGACTCCAGTCGGCAATCACACGACGCCGGCATCGACGAGATCCACGCCCTAACCGCCACCATCGAGCGCGACCTCGAGGTGCTACGCCAGTCACTTCGCCAGGGAGGCTTCAGCCTGAACGAGACCAAGGAGGAGATCGCACACAGCATCCCATCGAAGTCCCTCCACCGCGCCTTCTTCACCGACCCCCGCGTAAACTGCAAGAAACTGACCTCGACGAAGCACGCGGGGGGGGGGGGCATATCCGACGCCAAAGCATCCTTCCACGGAGAACGTGGAGCACGACTACGAGCAGCAAATGCAGGATGGAGCCAGTGCCACCATTTCTGGTTCAGCCGCGCCCCACGCCGACTGAAGCCACTCGCATTTCAAGCCGTCGTCTATGAGGCCGCCACCAGCGCCGCCGAGCCCTCTTACCTCTACGCAACGGACTACAAGAAGATCGACATCTGTCCGGGCAAGAAACTGCGGGCCATGCTAAAGGGCAAGGGCTGCCAGCACCACCACGACACGCACTACCAGGCGACTTCCGCGGCCGAGGCATGGCGCCGATGGGACATCGTGCCGAGCTCCATCGAATAAAAGATTCGGCGGCTGAAACTACTTCAAGGTGCTGCTGCACATCCCGAAGAATCCCAACATCTTGTTTCCGCCCTGTTTGGCGAGCTCCGCATCGAGCGCCTTCTGCGAGACAATGACCTCCCCGTCATGCTACTCACCCTGACCGACGACGGCTACATCAGCCCCGACGCGAATCCGATCGCCAGACAGATGGCCACCGACATCTAGGACCTCCTCACCTACGACACTGCCGAACCATTGGACTTGCTGGACTGAAAGGGCAACAGAATCACGATGGTCACGGACCCCGAAATCGCTGAAGCTTTCTGCGGGATCGACGTGAACATCATGAGGGCCACCTACCTTCGGAGCGCTGTCGCGCCACCTGGTGCCTCCGCCGAGCTCCCATCGGAGCTCGCCCCATCCGACGAGGCCGAACTGTTCGCATGCGAGCTGAAAACATCCGCAGGAATCCCATGCATGAGCACCTGTTAGACCGCACGAGCACTCTACGCACATCAACGAGGAATGGCACTAGGAGGCGAACATGGAGCGTGCTGCTTGCTATCTCAGCTCACGCTCACGAGCGAGTGCATCTGATGTAGTACGACCTTCCCGATGCGAGTGGGCGCACAACACCAGGTCGCAGTTGCATGGAAATCACACGCGCGCAAGATAGACCAGACCTGGGCCCCGTACCCCCTCGTTGCCCCGAAGAGCTTCGCCTGCCCGATCTGCCAGAAGTCCTATGAAGAGTACACCGAGCTCCGAGGCCACCTCCGTAGTCATTTACCTCAGGACGTCTTGGGCACTCACGCACTGTCACTTTCACTACCGACACGCCCTGCAGCCAATCCAGCTCGCGACGTCCACGGGCTCGGGGCCCCCGCTGACAGCGAATGCGGCCGCGCCACAGAGACCGAGCTGGCGTGCCCCGCGGGGATCCTCGCGTCTGGCGGCGGCGGCTCTAGCCGGGACAGACCCAAGCCAGCGACCGATCGCGGAGCCAACGACGAGGACTGGACCCTCGCAAGAAGGCCGAGGACCAGGACGCGGAGCTCGACGACCAGAAGATCGACCCCAGCAAGGACACGATTTAGATCAGGGAGCACACGGGTTGCATAACTAAGATTGCGAAGGTGCTCGCGCAGGAGAAACGCACGCTCAGGTCTGTCGCCGCGAAGGAGAATCACACGGAAGAGGCCCGCCAGCACCAGGCGCCGCGAGGATTATGATGGAGATGCCGACTCAGCAGGAGCGGCGCGAAGAGCAAGGGCGACGACTCCAACACCACGACCGAGAGCACCAACGCCACGGAGCAGCACCAGGAGCAGGACACCCCGGTCTGCAAATTCGAGAAGGCTTACAAGAGCGGCCAGGCGAAGATCGATTGCAGGGACTACGAGAGCAGGCAGCACATCATGACAGCGTTACACAACGCCGACAAGGCGACGCGCGTGGGTCCAGCGCCAGCGGAGTCCGTGGGGGACGGGCTGGCCTTCGGGAGGGAGGCGCTGAGGGGCGAGACCTAGACGGGACTACTGCACACCTGCCCGCGATGCCCACTTGCTTGTCCATTGGGGGCCGCGGGCTTGCTAGCGGGAGGAGAAAAACGGAACCGCCCTACAGACAGCCTGAAGGGGAAGGTATTGCGGACGAGGCCACCATCACTAGCGAGTCCATCAGGCGCTTCAAAGCGACGGACGCCGAGACGGGGATCTGCACTCTACCTCCATCCACGCCATCGCCCACGCCTATGCCTACACCCTCGCCTACGCCCACTCCCACGCCAGCACACGCCCCAGTAACGACGACACTGAGCATGAGCATGAGCAGCACCGCAGAGGGGGCGAGGCCGAAGGATCAGGCTAACGCCAATTTGCGCCCCGCCGTGCCCTTTTTCCTGGGGCATGCTCGCGACAGGCGCGAGGAGCCCTACACTCACGCTCGAGGTCGGCTCGAGAGGAAGAGCAGCCAACCTCCTCCTACCTCATACTGCCCCCCGCCCCCGACCTCTGCTGCTGCCTCCATGCCGTCCACTCCTCCTCCTCTTCCGCTTCGAAGCGATCGACCCTCCCTGCTGACAGCGCGGGGGAGAGGTCGGAGTCGCGGACGAGGGCGCGGAAAGGGTCGCGCCTCAAGGTAGAGTTGGGTGCGGGCTCCCCTTTCCACGCTGAGCCGCTCGCACCATGCGAGCGGCGCCTTTATAGTACCGTTTTCGGGCGAGCACCGTCCAAGCCCCATCCGCTTCCTCTCGGGTTATCGTTAGGTGCTTCGGACATTCGGTGTGAGTGAGCAAGTGATACAGACATACCTGTGTATACAGATACCTATCTATATTCATATACGTGTATCCACATACTACATACATGTATGTGTATGTATAACGCGTCTGTGTGTGTCGGCCACCATGCCACTGGCATTGGGTGGAGGGTCGTCAGGTCACGTCGCGTTCCCTGTGGTGAGTAGTCGTCCTTGATCGATCCGTTCGAGGTTTATCTACCGTCATTGATAGGTTCGGGGGCGAGCGGATGCGCTCAGGATCGAGCAGTGCAAGTGTCAGATGTGCGTTTCCTTCGCGCTCTCTCTCTCTCTCTCTCTCTCTCTCTTTCTCTCTATTTCTCTCTCTCTCTCTCTCGTTATCTCTCCCAGTCTCTCTCTCTCTCTCTCTCGCTCTATCTCTCTCTCTCTCTCGCTCCCCTTCTCTCCAACCCTCTCTCTCTCTTCTTATATGTTCTCTTTTTCTCTCTCTCTCTCTCTCTCTGTTTCTCTCTCTCTCTCTCTTCCTCCCTCCCTCCCTCTCTCTCTCTCTCTTGTTATTCTCTCTCTCTCTCTCTGTCTCTCTCTCCCTCTCTCCATATATATATATAGAGAGAGGGGGAGCGAGAGAGAGATTCGCCTTCCATTTCACGCCCTCAACCCCGCAAACATACTCGGGCCAACTTCGCCGCCGCAGAGGGGGGGAAAAGGCGGAGGGATGGAGGTAGAGAGGGAAGGAAGGAGGAGGAGGGTGAGAGGGAGGGAGGGAGGGAAGAGGAGGAGGAGGAGGAGAAGGAGGGAGGGAAGAGGAGAAGGAGGGAGGGAGAAGGCGGAGGGAGGGAAGAGGAGCAGGAGGGAGAGGAGGGAGAGAGGGAGGGAGGGAGGGAAGAGGAGGGAAGAGGAGGGAGGAGGAGGAGGAGGAGGAGGAGGAGGAGGAGGAGGTGCAACAGTGGGGCAGCCCAGGCAGCAGCGCACGGTGGCGCGCGAGGTGGAGCGACAGGCCTCCCAGCCGCCGGGCTGCCTGTTTCTCTGTGCCCGTCTCGGTGCTGTTCGTGCTCCCCCCCTTGCCGTTGCTGTGGCGCTGCCCTCTGCCGCCGCTGCTGCTCCGCCTCCCGGCTGGGCTCCCTCGCAACGCGCAAGCCTGAGCGCAGCCGCTGCCGATGCAGATGGCGAGGGAAGGGGAACTGCACGGCCTGCCGCCCGTCAGAACCCTCCTCAGGGGCTCAGGGGTGATTCCGTCGGCTCCCGCATGGTCCTCCGCCTCCGCGCGCTTTTCCGCGGCTGCGCCTCGTCGAGAGCGTGCCGGGGCTGCCCGGATCGCCCCCAGCGGCTGCCGGAGGCCCGAGCTGTAGGCCGAAAGCCGTGGTGGAGGCATCGGTCACGAGCAACGTCAGGGGGTCCAGGGAGAAGGGGGGGCACGACAGGTTCTGCGGCTGACAACGCCGTTCCCTTCACCCTCCCTGTGTAGCTGTACTACTGATCGACATGTCAGGCCCGATCCTGGCATTGCATGGGAAGGCAGCATGTGGAGGGTTGCTGTTCGTCGTAGGGCGCGAAGCAGTAGCACACTGCATTACAGCGCGATCCACGCGACCCCGTCACTGATTATTAGTTGGTTGGAGGCGGTCATGCAGATGCCCCTTCTTAGATTTGTTCTGCCTCATATTTCTCATCTTCTCCTCCCACTCCTCTTGTTACTTATGCTCCTTTTCCTCCTCCTCCTCCTCCTCCTCCTCGTCCTCATCCTCCTCTTGTTTCTCCTCTGCCTCATGCTTATCATCATCATCATCATCATCATCATCATCATCATCATCATCATCATCATCATTATTATTGTCACATCGGTCCTTCTCTCTCTCTCTCTCTCCCACCCCGTGTGCTTCCACCTCCACCTCCATCCGTCTACAAATCCTCCTCCAACTCCTCCCCATCCTCCTCTATTGCTCCTCGTCGTCCTCTGCCCCTTCCTTTTCTCTGCAGTGTTTCCCCGCCTCACACTATTAGCATCATCATCATCATCAGCAGCAGCAGCATCATCGTCACCATCACCATCACCATCATCATCATCATCAGCAGCAGCAGCAGCATCATCATCATCGTCATCATCATCATTCCGCTCATCTCCAGAGTTCTTGCCAGTCCTTTATTTTACCGTGGCCGAACTTATTGCGTTGTTTCGCCTTCGCCTCATGTTTCGTATCCTCCTACTCTGTTCTATCACACACCCTGTCTGTTGCCTCTTCCACCTCCGCCGTACGAAGATCCATCGTCCTCTTACTCCCTTGCTCATCCTCCTCGTCCACACCTCCTCTTGTTTCCTGTCGTGTTTCTTGATCCACGTAGTCATCCTCATCCCAGTCCTCTCCAGTGTTTTGGCCAAACCACTATGTGATTTTGGCGAAACATTACTCAAATGGTTGTAGTGTTCCCGATCGTCCTTCAGGTGCCGTCGACCTCATGTGGTTTCGTGTTTGCCATGTTCTTTCGACTCGTCCGCATCCTTCTCATCATCCTTATTACATTGTGTTTCTTCATGGTACATTTGAACATTCGGGTTTGCTATAGGCAGTACCGAAGCATTGCGCGCTCCGAAAATGGTGGATAAGGTTCATGTGGAGATTTGCAGTGTCGACGAACATGTTCTAGAAGAGGACTTCCTGATGTTTGAATGTGCGGCGCGAAATACCCCAAAGTGCAAAAAAATAAAAGTTTGCATTTCACCCGTCGGTGCGAAAGCCGACGAGCCTAGTGATGTAGGATAGCATTTGAGATGAATCACTCGACAGAAAATCAACATCGCGAACATGGACACCCTGACGTAGTCTGGCAGCAGACAGTGCGATCGCCACCAGCAAGGAGTTGGGCCAGCGCGTCAGTCGCATGGTCTCTGCTGCGTGACACTGGAGAGGTCGCATTTCCTCGCAAATACGGCTTACTCCCTGCTCTAAGGTGTGCCAGTGTTGCCAAGGATTCAGAGAATTGGGGGACGTATGGATGCAAGTGCGGCCGCGCAGTCCCATAGCAGCACGCTGTTGAAGAAGAAGCGATGCCTCCCAGATCAGGCATACTACCTTTCGGTTTGGGATATACAGCCCAGACTCTGCACAGGGAGGTCCACAACTCTGCAGTTCATTGGACCCCTGCATATCAGAACAGCCTCGGCAGCAAGCTCGATGAGGTAATCCCAAACGAGCTCCACAACGTGATCACCGCGCCGTTATCGGCAGTGCAGATCCAGACCATGGAGATGCTCGCAACAGAGCCCGCAGCAGGCGACTCCATGCCGACTCTGTGTACTAGTGTGGCAGATTTGCCACGCATAAGACGACGGTATAGCTACGCGACTGCTGGACGTTCTTCTCACAGTGGCCAGCGTGTGTTGGCATTAGGGCGTGGCCGTTTTCATCTCTCAGGCGGCTCAGGTGACGACTGATGTTCGGGAGGTCCATCTCATCGCGCATGCAGCCTCATTGTTCGTGCTGTCGCGGCGCGCAGCCCCCGTGGTCCACAATCAGCATCATCGTGGCGACGCGCCTCCGTCGAGACGAGCTCTCGCAAGGGCACGCGCGCGCTGGACGGCTTGCGGAGATCCGTTGCAGTGTTGCAGCAGCCGCAAATCGGCGAAATAGGTTCAAGGTGTTCGTCGAGGTCTTCCGACTGGCGCTGTCGACTAGGCAAATGCGCGTGATCTGCGAACCCACGCACTCTAGATGCCGCATTCCGACATCGGGTTCTTCGGCGCGCCGCGCTGTCTTGAGCGCCCGATCCGGTCAACCATCTCCTCGCCGAGCCGTGCCCGATGATCGCCGTCGAGAGCCACGGCAGGGACGCTCGGCAGAAGATCTGCGAAGCCTGCGTCTTGGACCAGCCTCCGTGATTTGACGATCCCTTGACCGTGTTAGGGGTGCCCTGCATGCAGCAGACAGGAGGCGATGCCCGCTTGGACGCGCCAGCCGAGCGGTACCAGCACGTCTCGCCCACGAACCGATCTGGATGAGAAGAGAGTGCCGATCGAGCGGTCACCCACGCACCACGGCCGAGGTGGGCCGCAGCAAGTTCGGCACTTTCTTTTGCACTGCATGGGCTTCGAGTTCGTACAGTAGGAGCTCGACCGCAAGAAACCTTCCACAAGAGACCCAAGCCTGAGCCCCGGGACCTCCACTGATTTTTGGTGTGGGGACGTCACGCGCTCCGTCGCAAGACCATCGAGACCCAAGACACCCAGGGCACCCTGGAGGCAAGCAGGGTGTTTCTTGGCATGGGCTTCGAGTTCGTACGAACCGCCTCTGCGCCATGGGCTCCCGGCAAGCTGTGCCCCACAGCGCTGCGCAGCGCATTCGGGGGCCTCGGCCACTGGTGTCTCGCGAGGCGGCTGGCCCCAATGCCTCTGCGTGCTGGGCTTCTCTTGCGCACGCTCCTCCTCTTCCTCCTCCACCTCTTCCTCCTCGTCCTCTTCCTTCTTCTACTCCTCCTTCTTCTCGTCCTCATAATATTATTCCTCCTCCTCCTCCTCCTCCGCCTCCTCCTCCTCCTCCCCCTCCTCCCCCGCATCCTCCTCCTCCTCCGCCTCCTCCTCCGCCTCCTCATCCTGCTCCTCCTTCCGTCCTCCCTCGAGCAGAACCAGCGAGCCGCTGTCCCACCTGTCGGTGGCCATACCCGCCGCCACCTGCTCCTGCTCTTCGACTCCTCATGGTTGTCGTCTTTGCCCCAGGTGGAGGAGGCGGGGCTTCGAGCTGGCGGCGTCAGGCACCAGGTGGAAGCGATAGGCAAGGACCTCAGCCGCTTGAACGCCGCGTTCATGACGCGGGCGACCATTTCTTTCCCTTCAGGTAGGAAACAAGGGCGGGGCAACGGAATCAATCGGTTTGACGCCGTTGGGGCAAATGTTGCAGGGTTTATGGACATGCTAGGGCGGGCTTGCTCTACCGGTTCCGCGCGCTCTGCCAGCCGAACTGGAATGACACGTGAAAGTTTGAGTGGCAGAATCGGCGTGTGTGTTTGGATGGGCCCTGCTGCATCCCCTTTTCCCCCCTTGAAAAATAGAACAGAGCAGATGTGGTTTCCGTATTTGTCTCTCCGCCTCTTCATTCTACATTTCCTCACATCTTTCCTCCATCTCCGTTGGGTACACCTCCTCCTCCTCATCTTCATCATCATCCTCCTCCTCATCATCCGCCTTCTGGGTCATTTTCCTGCCATCCCTATTTTTCCCAAACATGTGTAGGTTTCTTCCGTGGTGGAGGTTTTACGATTGGAGTCCCCCCTTGAGGGTGGATTTCCAACTAATATATCTCTGCTTAGGCTTTACACATGAATCCTCCCTGCGGCAGGGCATACATAAACCGATTCCTTATGTGATGGAGGACTTCCAAGTAGAATCCCCCCTGTGGGTTTCGCAAGCACATGCATTCCGTCAGAGATGAGTTACGCATAGGTTATTTCGAAGAGAGCGGTTGTTTATGAATTGTCCTCCTTTGGAGACGCTACTTGTGTACCCATTCTATGGGAGGGAGAGCACTGCACCTTCGCATGCGAAGGGATGCAAACGCATAGAAAATATGTGCGGACTTAACCGATCACTGTTGTGATGAAGGACGTTCAATGTGGACTCCCCTGTGCACTCTTTACGAAAACTTCGTTTCGTGTATGACAGCATGTGCCTATCAATTCGTTATATGAAGGGCAGATCTTCACATGGGAGCAGAATGGTCGGCCTCTGCGCACCAGTCCCAACAGTAGGCCGCCTCGCGCTCGGTTTCTCCTACTCCTCGTCCTCCTCCTCCTCCTCCTCCTCCTCGTCCTCCTCCTCTTCATCCGCCTGCTCCTCCCTCTCGAGTAGCAGCAGCCTCAGTTGCTAGATCCAAGGAGCAGCAGGTGCTCGACTTTGACGGCTCCCTGCCCGCCCCCGAGGGCGACCCAAGGTCGCAGTGCCACGCCCCCCCCCCCCCCGTGCTACCCGCGCACCTTCGTCGAGGAGTGCAGGTTGATGCCAAAGTTCACATCACCCCCTCCCTCCTCCCCCTTTCCCTTCCCCAACACTGCCTCTCGACCTCTTCTGTTGCGCTCGTTGCGGGTGCACCGCCACCGTCGATCCGCAATTTCGTATGGGGCTTGCTCGGGGGAGACTCGCAAAGGCCGTGAGAGCCTGGTGAGGATCAAGAAGGGATTGCACCCTAGTCGGCGGTACTTGGCGGTGGTGGCGGTGGCGGCCCGCGACTTGGGCAGGGTGAGGCATGAGGAGTCCCTCCGCTATTCCCTTGTCGAGCTGTGGCGTTCCTCGGAGGTTTCCTGCGCAGGCCCCCGCCTACTTGCGGGTGTCAGGAAACTCCGAGAAAGCATCGCCTCTCTTCCTCCATCCCGACGTATGCACGTGTCGATTCGCAGTCGCCTCTTGCATCGTTGCCCTCCCCCCCCTCTCCAAAAACTCCCGCTGGAAAAAAACGCACTCCTCCCTCCGCCCCATGAAGGCTGTGCTCCCCAGGCGAGTGGGTCTGGAGTCGTGGACTGGGGCCCAAGGGGTGAAAGGGTGAGCGGGCAGGGCGGAGGTTTACCAAGGGGTGGACGAAGGGGGCTCCAGATCCTGTCTCCGAGGTGCTGGCTCGATCACTTTGGCTACACGAGCTGACCATCTGCTGAGAGCGGTGCTCGTAAGTTTTGGGCGAAGGCAGGCGGTATCATGGTGTTCGTTGGTCAAACAATGAACGACTGTCCCCGCTATGATCACCATGTCTTGCCCTGCCAAATAGCATGCTGCCGTTGTCATTGCTAGCGCCATTCGTGCTTGAGATCGTACGGACGAGCTTTCCCAGCCACAGCCAGCATTGTAAGATCGATATCCTCACATACGGTTGGACAAGTTAATCTCGCCTATGGCTGACACAATGGTCACCCCTGCATGGGTACAGACCAGTATGACCTTGCGTGGAACGCCGGCTATGCGCCATTGGTATCAGCCTCGCGGCCGCATGTGTATCGTTTCGCATTCCTTGATCAGCCCTCTCTTTCTCTCTCTCCCAATCTCTTTCCGTCTTTCTCTCTCTCGGTCTCTTGCTTTCTCTCCTTCTCTCCCTCTCTCTCTCGTTCTCTCGGGGTCCCCCCCGCCCCTCCCTCTCCCTCCTCCCCTGGCCGTCCGCCCAAGACGGGTGTGAAGGGCCCCATTCCGCCGACAGCACTGGCCAGAGTGTTTCGGGTGCGGCGCGCTTGCCCGCCAGCACCTGGACGGAACCCCACCCAGATTGTCCGATCTCTCTCTCTCTATTTCTCCCTCTCTTTCTCTCCCTCTCGCTCTCTTACTTTCTCTCTCTCTCTCTCTCTCTTTCCCCGCCCCCCCTCCCTGCATTGCCCACGTGCCATATCACAACGCGTCCTAATCTTATTTGGCAGCGCAGTGTCGCGCGGGCCGCGATGATTCGTACAAGTGTCACTACAACACACATGATTAAACGATCGAGCGTGAGCACACGAGTGGGGAAGGGGAGGAGAGATGCAGGGGAAGCAGCGAGGTTGGGGGAGACGTGAAGAATGGAGACGTCGGCGATGAGGAACAGGACGGGGAAGAGGAGGAGGAGGAGGAGGATGCGGAGGAGGACAAGTGCGAACCCAAGATTCATCGACAATATTGCAGACCCTCCTTCCAAGCTCCCTCTCCATACGCCCACACAACGTGGGAGGACAACCGTTTGAAAACCCTGACCTGTGCCAGAACACCATCCCTGGGACCACAGCGTCGCGAGTCACCGTCATTGTTGCGTCCTGACGATCCTGAATCGAGCCAGGACACCATTCCCGGGACTTCAACATTGCGAATCAACGTGAGCGCTGCGCCCTGACATTCCGACACCGTGCCAAAACACCATCTTTAGAACGGTAACCATGACAGCATGTGAGGCGGCTGCACACTCTTACGACGAATGCGCGCTGCGTTGGGGCGACAGCCGCGTTGTGAAAATAGGCCGCCCTGCATCCGTGAAAGTCTTGCAAACTTCGAGGGCGAATGCGCGCGGCGCGAAGGCGAGAGCCACACGTTGAGAGCGACCCGCCCTCCATCCGATTTGCAAGCTTTTCAGACGAACTGCGCGGCGCTGCGGCTAGGGCCACATTTCGAAAGCCGACCGCCCTCCATCCATGAGACTCTTGCACGCGTTCTGGGCGAAGTGCGTGGCGCTGGGGCGAGAGCCACATCATAAAAAGGGAACCGCCCTCCATCCGGCAATCTTTTGCACGCGTTCAGGACGAATGCGCGTGGCGCTTAGGGTAGAGCCACACGTTGAAAGCGACCCGCCCTCCATCCGTGAAATTGTTGCAGATATTTGGGCTGCAGAACCATAAATGAGGAAGTCTCAGGCGACACGCCCAGCCAGCCCTTTCGACTGGCTTCGGGGTGCGACAGGGAGGAGTTATCTATAAGGAAGAGGGATGGAGAAAGGGCTCGAGAAGTTCCAGGCGAGCGGTGCCGTCGCCGCTGCCAGCTTAATCCGTTGCGACCGAAATTCGATGTGACCTGCGAGATCGTATGCACGATGGCCGAAACTCCTTAGAAACGCTAGGAGACAAGGGTAAGAGAAGACGGGACTGACCAGGAGAAGGGTAGGATATGGGAAGAGGAGGAGGAGGTTCCGTTGACACGTGGGTTTCCCTCGTCCAGCTGCCTCGCGCGCATGGCACACCTGGGAGTCGAAGGCCTTTCACGAGTTGGCCCTGCCGAGGCTCTCTTAGAATAGTTTTCCTGGTGGCCGCGAGCTCCGAAGCAGGTGCGATACCCTTCCCGCCCCACTCCCTGGAGGAAAAGGGGATTCGGAGCCGGAACGGCTGCGAAGCAATGTCAAGAAAAACCACCTCGGTTGCACATGTCATTCGGATCGATTGGGGTATTCTCGCCGCCTCCTGGTGATTCGACCCCTGTCCACACGGTTTCCCGGCAGCTCGGAGTTGAGTGCGAGGATGGAAGGGGGAGGAGGACGAGGAGAAGGAGGCGAGGTAGGAGGACGAGGAGAAGGAGAAGGAGGAGGAGGAGGAGGAGGAGGAGGAGGAGGAGAGGAGGAAGAGGAGGAAGAGGAGGAAGAGGAGGAAGAGGAGGAGGAGGAGGAGGAGGAGGAGGAGAGGTAGGAGGAGGAGGAGGAGGAGGAGGAGGAGGAAGAGAAGGAGGAGGAGGAGGAGCTCCAGGCCAGCAGCAGTGGCCGCACCAATCGTGCTCCGCGACGGCGCGTGCGCAGCAGCGGCTGCGTGCTCTCTTTCCGCCGCGGCACTGCGCCGAGCCTGGCGCACACCGCCGACAGCACACGGGCGCGAAAGACTTGCGGAAGCTCGATCGGGTTAGATCATCGACTCCTCGCTCATGAGGAACAGCCTGCAGGGTTCCTGAACACCCTCGTCGGGGCGGCGCTCGAAGTCCGTGGGGGGCATCCTGTCGATGCCCAGGCCTGCCCGACCCTTCATGCGGGCCAGGGCGGTTCGGACGTCTGCCACAGTGAGTGGCACCAGCTCCTCCAGCTGCACAGTGGGCGGCCCAGACATCCGATAGCTCGACTTGTTCAGCACGGGGTCCCTGGAAGTCCCGACCCTCTCCCCAGGGCCGGCTTCTCGCCTTGACACGTTACTTGACGGTCCCGGGGCTCGGCGAGGGCCCAAGACGCCGAAAACGCCGACAACAGATCCGCTCTGATGTTTCGATGCTCCGCGGCCCCACGGCGGCCTCGCGGAGGCCCCACGGAGGCTTGGGCAGCGGCGCGAAAATCGGCGGAGCGCGGCGGAGGAACTCCAGAAAGGGCTTCGGCTCTCGAGGGTCGAGTGAGCCCAGACCTCCGGCGACACGACTTGCTCGATTTCTCGGTGTCTCTGCCTCTGGGGCCCGTCATCGAGCCCCCAGGCCACCAGAAATGGATCCAGTGCGAAAAACTCGAAAAACTACCCCCCTGGACCTCTGGGGCCGCGGGTTGAAGGACACAGATCGGCGGATGTCGCGGAGTGTTGACACACCTCGTCCTCGGCGGGAGGCGGCGGAGGCAAGACGGGAGCGGTTCCGCCGGCGGCCGCTCGGCGGAAGCAACACCAGCCCATCCCTTCCAGGAGATACGAAGACTTGTCGGCTCGGGATTTCCCGAGCCCCAGGGGCGGCTTAACCGACCCCTAGCAAGCCAGCGCCTTCCGTGACGTCCCCCCGCCTCACCCCAAGACGTATGTATGCTGCCAGAGGGCATCGAGGGAAGCTTTCAAAAGGAGGATGACGTCACAGAAGGTGCCGGACACGGTAGGGGTCGGCTATTTGTGTCCGTCGAACTTACGACGAAAATACAGTACGTTGGATGTTCGCTGTGCAACAAAAAATGTACATATCCTCGTGGGAAAAATCTGGGGCAACTCCATTCCGTTGTCGATTTCCTACTCGACAGTCGGGCGCCTGCGCGGCGACGGCCCAGGCGGCGCTGCCCGCGCTGCAGGCGCTGCCGGGGGCGCGCGCCGCGGCGCCGACGCCGGGCGCGTTGCCGTGCCCGCCGCGGGCGCCGCGCCACCGCGCGCTGCGCATCGGCCGGGCCTGCGCGCGGCGTCGAAGAAGAGAGCGGTGCGTAAGCGCAAAGCGTCCAGAGGTCCGCGCGGAGTTCGTGGATCGGCGCCGCGCCCGCCGCCCCCATCGCGGGGGGCACCTCCGGCAGGGTCCGCGCCGATTTTGGTGGATCGGCGCCGTGCCCGCCACAAGCAGCGCCGGCGGAGAAGGAGGAAGAGCAGCAAGAGGAGCAGGAGGAGATAGAGAAGGGCAGGAGGAGAGGGAGGGGGAGGAGTGGACAGCAGAGCAGCGGGAGGGGGAGGGGACGACGGAGCTGGGCGAGGAGGAAGATCATTCTGCGGAGGAGGGAAGGAGGGAGAGGAGAGGGAGGAGGCCCTCCCCCCCCCCGACGCGAGAGGCACCTCTGGCAGGCGCTCCGCCACCTGGAGCTGCGCATCGACCAGGAGTGCGAGCGGTGGCGGGCCGCCGAGCAGGACGCCTCCCCGGTTTCGGACCCCGCCGCGGTCCTTCCGCGGCCCTCGGCGGCGGCCCTCCGGCAGCCCGTCGGCGCAGGGACGAGGAGCGGCAAGGGGGGGGTGGAAGGAGGAGGCGGACGAGGAGCAGCGGGGGGGGCAAGGAGGGAGAAGAGCTCGCGAGGAGGAGGAGGAGGAGGAGGAGGAGGAGGAGGAGGAGGAGGATAGAGAGAAGGAGGAGGAGGAGGAGGAGGAGGAGAGGAGCAGGAGGAGGAGGAGGAGGGGGATGAGGAGGAGGAGGAGGAGGAAGAGGAGGAGGGGGAGGAGGAGGAGGAGGAGGAGGAGGAGGAGGAGGAAGGGGAGGGGGATGGGGAGGAGGAAAATGTGAGAGGAGAAGGAGGAGGAGAAGGAGGAGGAGAAAGAGGAGGAGGAGAAGGAGGAGGACGGAGAACTGGCGGAGGAGCGTGCGAAGACGAGGGACCTGCTGGGGGCCTGTCCTGGCCGTTTGCAAGTGCGTATCTTCCTAGATCCGTAAGGGCTTCGCCCCCTGCCGCCGGCCCCCTCTCTCGGAGAATGGGCCATGGAAGAGCTAAGTCATGAGGCCTTGGCGCTGTCGTGAAGCAGTATCCAAACTTCATGCGAAGCCGAGTCGCAATCAGCAAAACCAACTGATCACAAGAGGGGTTACCACACCTGGCGATTGGTAAGACGTGTATGGTTTAAGGGCTTGGTTACCACACCTTGCGATTAAAGGGCCGAGGGAGTTCTCGCAGTTTGGGTTACCACGCCTTGCGATGGATGTGCGTGATGGGTTCGAATTTCAGAAATGTGGCAAAAAGGGGTGGCACCGAATGTGTGGCAAATCCCCTGTGTTTTTGGACCCTGACCCCGCGGATCTGCGTGAGGGGTGGCACCGAATTTCAGAAATGTGGCAAATCCCTGTGTTTTTGGACCCTGACCCCGCGGATCTGCGTGAGGGGTGGCACCGAATTTCAGAAATGTGGCAAATCCCTTGTGTTTTTGGACCCTGACCCCGCGGATCTGCGTGAGGGGTGGCACCGAATTTCAGAAATGTACCAAAGCCCCTGTGTTTTTGGACCCTGACCCCGCGGATCTGCGTGAGGGGTGTCGATTTCGAGCCCCCCCAGCAATTCAGACAACGCGCCCAGGTGAGGCTAAAAATCATGTTTGGGCCTCCCCCTCCCTCGCGCGGTCAATCAACTAGTTACAGTAACCAGCAAGAAGTCAACTAGTTACAATAATCAGCAAGAAGCAGAACTGTAACACTGGAAGCTACAACCTACGACTGGTACAGGAAACTGCGAATCACGTGCCTACAGCCTGGTGACCCCACAAGGGGGCCGGCGGATTACCGCTGCTTTTCCTGGTCCTCGTCATCGTCCTGTTGATGGCGTTGCCCGTCTTGCCGACATTATTCGTCGTCCTCCCGATCGCCGCTGATTGTTCTCGCGCCCTCCTCGTTCCCCTCCCCCCCTCGTCGCCTTTGCCTTCGTGCGTCCTCCCGATCCCGTTCCTTGCCCGTGTGCTGGAAGAGGGTGGGAAGTGTTGCCTCCGCCCCGGGTCCTGACCCAGGAAGGTCCCCCGAAGCCCCCAGCGGCTTTTGGAGACCTAACAAAGGAAGTCCAAAAGTGATTCCGAAAGCCTTCCGACAACGTTTGCAAACCTCCCCCATGGATCCCCGAGATGGCGGCGCGGAGAACGGGGCGGCGTGAGGGGGGCGGACTTTTTACAAGAGCGCAGGGGATTCTAAGAATCTAGGCCCCCCAGACGGGGACAGAGCATATGGGGTCGGAGGATGGCGCCGCATCGCCGATGCATCACCGATGCGGCTCGATGTGGAGCCCAGTCTTCTCCACGCGAGGTCGCCGATACCTCGACAATGCAGTGTGAACCTCCGATCTCATCTACTCTGACCCCATCTGGGAGTCCTCTAACGAAGCAATATGAAAGCCCCCCCGCCCTTCTGGAACCGCACCTGCCTGCTCGGAAGCTCCCCCGCCTTCTTGGAACCCACCCCAATCGCGCAACCCCGTTTTTGCGCGCCGCCAACGATGGCCCCCAGAGGTCCCCCGAGGACCCTGGGGCTATTGAAGGATCAATTACTATGGCGGTAGGACCCCACATGATAATGTCCCACACTAACATGGAAGTAGACCTTATCATCGTCTTGTTGAGTGTAGGGGCTCTCTTTTCCCGTCTCCTTGTCGCCCTTCTCTTTTTCGCCATGCCGGAGGCCATCTTCCCGCCCCCTGCTTTGTCTCCTCCTCGGCGTCCTGCTTCTTCTCCCCATCCACCTCCTCCCCCGCCCCTCTTACCAGGGCGCGCAAGACGATGTTCCTGGACCTTTGCCGCCACGGCCGACATGGGCGCGTTCCCCGATGGCCAGATCGCACAGCCGATGAGGCAACCCCACGGGCCAGGCAGTTGGGACAACCCCGAGAGCCGCTGGCGCGTGGGAGCAAGCCATTGGACACTTCCGCATGTCTCGAGCTGGTCGCGGCCGCGTTGAGGCGGAAGACAGCGCGAAGCTCAACTCTGCCGCGGGCTGCTCCGCCTCAGCCCTGGAGCCCTCCGCTTTGTCGTCGAACTCGCTGAGCGCCTTCCGCAGGGAAGCCGGCGGTCCGCGCGCCAGGAACTCTCGCATGGGCGGCCGCAGGATCAGCATGTTCCGCACGCGCGCGGCGCAGGAGAACGACGTAGAGGCGCAAACACCATTGTTCGTCCGACATGCCGTTGCGACCAGCGTCTTTATCTTTGGCGCAGTCGATGGTGACGCTATTGCGCAGCGTCTGACCCAGCGACGGCGTGGGATTCAGGCAGGACGCGTGCGTCAGGGTGAACACCAAGCGGCGCACGACGTGCAACCCTGAGCTGCGCCATGTGAACTTCTGCTCGCTAGGCCTGACCATGACAAAGCTCATCGCCCGCGCCTCGGCCTCGCCGTCGTCGTCAGCGTTTCCGGCTCCGCGTAGCAAGTTGCAGGCCATTTCAGTGTTGCGACATATGTTTCACAGCACGTCGGTTTTTGCTTTCCGCCATTTAGACCCCGTGGAAATGCCGGCGTCAAAGCTGCGTCCGTCGAAACCACCTAGAGAGAATCTCTTGTTCCAAACTCCTTGGCGAATCCTTCACAGGCGGACCGATTGCCTCCCGGTCGAGATTTCTTCGCCATACAATCACAGACGAGGCCCCCGTTCGAGACGTCTACCGTATGCAAACATCAGGGGCACAAAAATGACGACGGTCATCGGATGCCGATGCCCCGTTCAGATTAGAAACATGAGTTGCGGGACCCATCGGGTGGGGAGTTCCTGCATTATTTTTTTCGATATGCACTCAATGACGACACTCCCGCTTGACACTACCTCCATACTCAAGCTTGACGAGGCCAAAAAGCGAAGACAAATACAGGACTCCGATGGTCCATTCGGATTAGTAACAGCTCCCGCCTAAGACTTCGCCCACATTCAAGCTTGAAGGGACCAAAAACTGACGATTGGTACACGACCCCGGTGTCCCGTTCGAAATAATAATATGATTTGCGGGAGCCATAGAGGGAAGGGGTTCCCGCTTGAGCCTTCCTCGCAACGTACTCACTAACAGGGTTTTTGTTCGACATTCTCTACAGACAACTCAAGCTGGGGGAAGCCAGAATTAACTACGGCTACATGCTTCCAGTGGCCCGTTCGGATTAGTTACATGAGTTGCGGGCCCCATTGGGAGGGGGGGCCCGCTTGCGATTACCTTGTAATTTACCCACAGACGAAGCTCTCGCCCGACACTTCCTCCACATGCAAGCTTCTGAGGCCAAAAGTGATGACAACTGCAGGGTTCCGAGGTCCGTTCGGATTACTAACAGCGGACCTCATAGGGAAGGGGTTCCTAGTCGAGGTTTTCTTCATCGTCAAGCTTGGTGTGGCCAAAACTGACGACTGTTACAATTCAGGTTCCTGATGACCCGTTCGGATCCCCTTCGGATTACTAACATGAGCTGCGGGCCTCATAGGGACGGGGTTTCCGCCTGACACGTCCTCGCAGTCCACTCACAGACGAGGCTCTCGCCGGATATTTCTTCCATGTTCAAGCTTGAAGAGGTCAGAAGCGATTACCGTTACAGGATTCCGATGGCCCGTTCAAATTTGTAACATGAGTTGCGGGCCCCAAACGAAAGGGGTTTCCGATTTTGATTTTTTCGCAGTTCACTCACAGACGAGGCTCCATCTGGAGATTGTTTGCATATTCTATCTTGAGGGACCAAAAGTGATGACGTTTACAATATTCAGAGAACCTTCCGGATTAGTAACATGACTTGCGGGCCCCATATGGACGGGGCCCCCACCAGAGACTCTTCAGCAATTCACTCGCAGACGAGGTTCTCGCCGGATGCTTATTTCATATTCATGCTTGGGGTGACCAAAAATTGCGATTGCTACAGGTCCCCGATGACCCGTTCGGATCCCCTTCGGATTAGTAACATGAGTTGCGGGACCCATAGGGACAGGTCTCCCGCCTCAGACGTCCTCGCACGACGCTCTCTCCGGATACTCCCTCCGTATTCAAGCTTGAAGAAGCCAAAAGTATGTACCATTACAAGATTCCGATGGCCCGCTCGGGTTAGTAACATTAATTGCGGGCCCCATACGGGGGGGGGGGGGCGATTATGATTTCTTCTCAAGTCACTCACAGACGAGGCTTCCGCCTGAGACTTCTTCCATACTCGAGCCTGAAGAAGCCAGCAGCGAGGACAGCTACAGCAGGAGTTTGATGGCCTGGTCGGATTGGTAACATGAGCGGCGGGCCCCATAGGGAGGGGGCTTCCGCCTGAGATTTCCGTCCAAGACATTCACACCCGCCGGAGATTTCCTCCGTACTCTTCAAACTTGGGCAGGCCGACGGCGACGACGATTACAGGTCCCCGATGGCCCGCTCGAATTAATAACATGAGCTGCGGGCCCCGTCGGCAAGGGTGTCCCGACTGAGACCTCCTCTCAATCCACTGACAGACACCATTTCCGCCTGAGACTTCCCCCATTTGATTAAATCTTGGAGAGGCCAGAAATGACAACAATTACAGATCCTGATGACCCGCTCGGATTAGTACCATGAGCTACGCGCCCCATAGGGAGAGGGTCCCGCCTGAGGCTTCATCGCTATTCACCCACAGGCGAGGCTCTCGCTGGAGACTTCCTCCATACTCAAGCTTGAAGTGGCCAAGAATGATTACTGTTACAAGATTCCGATGGCCCGTTCGGATGAGTAACATGAGCTGCGGGCCCCTGACTAGGTGTCTCGCCTGAAACGTCGTCACAACGGACGACAGTTACAAGTTTCCAGCTACCCGTTCGGATTAGTAACATGCGCTGCGGGCCCCATAGGGAGGCCCCGCGTAGGATGTTCGAGACGTCCCCACGATTCGCCTCCTGGCAGTGCTCAAGTGCGATTTGTGCTATGGTACGCCAATGGCCGTGCGGGATTCGAATAGGAGCTGCAGGCCCCACAGACAGGGGGCTTCCGCCTGAGGCTTCCACACCATTCACTTAGTGTAGATGTGACTGCATGTGTGTATGTTATGTGGCATGATGATGGCGTTGAAATTAATATTATTAATAATAATATTAATAATCATAATAATAATACTAATAATAATAATAATAATAATAATAATAATAGTAATAATCATAATAATGTAACAACAATAATAATAGTGATAATAGTAGTAATAGTAAGAATACTAATGATACTAATAATCACAATCATAATACTAATAATTATACGAATAAAAATAATCATCATCATAATAATAATAATGATGATGATGATGATGATGATGATGATGTATGCGTGAGTGCGTATGTGGTAGTAGTGATGGTGGTGGTGATGATGATGATGGCGACGATATCGACGATACTGATGAGAACAGTGGCGACGATCATGGTATCAAGATAAGCGAGTAAGGAGTGAATGCCACTGAATGAGCGATTGTGGATCATGACAATGATGATTATAATAATGATGATGATGACGATGATGATGATGTTGATGATGATGACGATGATGATGATGAGCGTCAGTGTGTGAGTGCATATGTGCATGAGTGCGTTAGTGTATAAGAGAGAGGGGGGAGGACGAAGAGATCCTGAGCGGTGGGGCAGAGAAAACAAGAAACCCATTTTCGGATGTGGGACAGTACAAAACATTCACCAAAACTAACAAACAACATCCAGATGTCCCACCCACCCCCGAAGAACATTTCAGAAGCCTCCCCACCACCTCGATCCGCGAAGGCCGAGGGGGCAGAACTCAGCAGAGGAAGCGGGCATTGCAGTCATCCTCCTCTTCCCACCTCGTGATGCCGTTCCTGCACCTTTTCCGTGACACAGCAATCTGCCTCGCTGCCCGGGTCCAGGGCTTTTGTATCTGGCCTGCCAGCAGATCCTTGACATCCGCCGACTTAGTTGTTTCAGTCCGCGGCCCCTGAGGTAGCTTTTCGCCCCGGACTTGGGCTTGATGGTCCCAAGGCCCGATCATGTGAGCCCCGGAGGAAAACGCCCGCATTGAAAAAAACATATCGTCGGAGGTTGTTGGGTCTCCAGCATGATAAGGCTTCGGGGCTGCGCACAGACAGCCCTCCCAGGTAGTCCCAGCTTGCCTCAACAGGCCCCCCGAGTAGTCCCAACTGGCCTCAACAGGCCCCCCGAATAGCCCGGGCCAGTCTCAACACCTCCACCCTGGAACGCGGAGCGCCTTTGGGGCGGCGCCGTAGCCGGCGCCAGGGTGTTGAGACCGCCCGAGGACTATTCGGAGGGGAGGATGAAGAAGAGGAGGAGGAGGAGGAGGAGGAAAATGAAGATGGGCGAGAAAAACCGAGGACGAGAAGGTGACCTAGGGGCGGCTGTCTGTGGGCAACCCCGACACCTTCCCAACTCAGCAGGGTGACGGGGGGCTGCAGGAGATCCTCGGCTCGCTCGGACACCAGGTGCAGCGGTTGCGGTCGGAGAGCAGCAGGCACATGGCCGACCTGGAGGACCCTCGCCCCCGCCGGAGGGCGCCGGACTGGCGGGGGCCTCCTGATCGGGCTGGGTGGGGCGAGGGGGGGCGGGAGCGGCGGGACGGGGGAGAAGAGAGGGAGAAGGGGGGGGCGAGGGGGAGGCGAAGGGGAGGCAAAGGGGAGGGGGGATAGGCGAGGGGGAGGCGAGGGGGCAAGGGGGAGGGAGGAGAGGGAGATAGGAGGGAGGAAGGGAAGGGGGCGGCTGGGGGAGGACGCGGGAAAGTGGATGGAGGAAGGCGCGGGGGAAAGGGGAGGGGGGAAAGGGGGAATGGGGAAAGGGGAGGGGGGGAGGGGGGGGCAAGCTAAGTGCGATGGCACCACAGCTCACATCCTGTCCCTCCCTCCCGTCGCCTCCCATGCGCTGATTTGTTATAATCCCACGGACGTGTGTCATAGCCGACCTGGAATGCAACCAAAAAGCACTCCATGGTGTTATGCACAATCGGACGATTGGGTAGCTGCATAACCCCTACGGTTCTGTGATACCCATCCACCCCTGCTTCTTTCGGCGGTGAATACATACGGCCCCTCTACTCCTACTACCACTACCTACTACTACTACTACTACTACTACTACTACTACTACTACTACTACTACTACTACTACTACTACTACTATACTACTACTACTACTACTACACTACTACTACGACTACTACTACTACTACTACTACTACTACTACTACTACTACTACTACTACTACTACACTACTACTACTACTACCACTACCACTACACACTACCACTACCACTACCACTACACTACCACTACCACTACTACTACTACTACTACTACTACTCCTACTACTACCTACCTACCCTACCTACCTACCTACCTACCCTACCTACCTACCTACCTACTACACCTACTACTACTACTACTACTACTACTACGACTACTACTACTACTACTACTACTACTACGACTACTACTACGACTACTACTACTACTACTACTACTACTACTACTACTACTACTACTACTACTACTACGACTACTACTACTACTACTACTACTACTACTACTGCCACCAGCTACTACTACTACTACTACTACCACTACTACTACTACTACTACTACTACTACTACTACTACTACTACTACTACTACCACTACTACTACCACTACGAGTACTACTTCTACTATTACTACTACTACGACGACTACTACTACTACTACTGTTACTACTACTACTACTACTACTACTACTACTACTACTACTACTACTACTACTACTACTACCACTACTACTACTACTACTACACCTACATGAACTACGGCTACTACTGCCACGAGTAATGCTACTACTACTACTATTAATACTAAGACCGCTACTACTACTACTCGATCGGGCGTACAACTACTAGGAGTGTTGCTACTACTGCCTCCACTGCAACTACGACTACTACTACCAGCACTACCACTACGACCACTACTACCACCACTACCAGTACTACTTCTATTATTGTAACTACTACTACTACTACTACTACTACTACGACTACTACTACTACTACTACTACTACTACTACTACTACTACGACTATTATTACTACCACTACTAATACTAATACTACTACTACTACTACTACTACTACTACTACTACTACTACTACTACTAGCACTACTACTACACTACTACTTTTACACTACTACTACTAATACTACTACTACTACTACTACTACTACTACTACTACTACTACTACTACTACTACTACTACTACCTACTACTACTACTACTACTACTACTACTACCACTACTACTACTACTACTACTATTACGCCACGACTACTAGTACTACTACTACTACTACTACTACTACTACGATCACGGCTGCTACTACGACCAGTACGACTACTACTACTTCTACGAATACTTCTACTACTACTATTACTTCTACTACTACTACGGGGATTACGAGTACTGGTATTACTACTACGACTACTACTACTACGACTACGCCTACTACTACTACTACTACTACTACTACGACTACTGCTACTACTACTACGACTACCAATACCACTACTTGTACGATTGCTATTACTGCCACCAGGACTACGGCTACAGCTACTACTACTACGACGGGTAATACTATCATATAGCTACAACGGCTACTACGTCGACTACTATCACCACTACGACTACTACCACTACTGTACTACTACGACTATGGCTACAAATACTACGACTACTATTACTACGACGGCCACTATTACTACTACTACCATTACTACTACTACTACTACTACTACTACTACTACTACTACTACTACTACTGATAATAATAGTACTGCTACTACTGCTACGATTACTACTACTTCTACTCTTAGTACTAGTACTACTAATCCCCCTACGACTACTACTAGTACGACTATTCCGACTACCACTACCTCTACATACGACCATACTTACTCCCATTAGTATTATTACTACTACAACCACTACTACGAGTGTTACTAGCTAGTACTACTACGACTACTACTACTACTACTTATATTACTATTACTACTACTACTACTACTACTACTACTACTACTACTATTGCTACTGCGACTACTACTACGAATTATAATAATACGACTACTACTAATACTACGACTACGACTACTACTACTACTACTACTACTACTACTACCACTACTACTACTACTACTACTACTACTACTACTACTACTACTACTACTACTACTACTACTACTACTACTACTACTACTACTACTACTACTACTACTACTACTACTACTACTACTACTACTACTACTACTACTACTACTACTACTATTGCTACTACTGTTGTTACTGCGACTACAACGGCTATTCTTATTACTACAAATATTATGATTACTAATTCTACTACTACTACTACTACTACTACTACTACTAGCACTACTACTACTACTACTTTCACAACTACTACGACCAGTACCACTAGTACTCCTACGACTTTCCAGTACTACGACTACTAGTACTACTACTACTACTACTACTACTACTACTACTACTACTACTACTACTACTACTACTACTACTACTACTACTACTACTACTGGTACTACTACTACTGCTACTACTACTACTACGACTACGACTACCAATACGAAGCTTACTGCAATATTCATTTTCCCAGAGCGACCTACCTAGGAGTTGGAGCCCCGAGGAGAGCAATATTAGTAGTAACGGTAAACGCCGTCCTCCTCCTTCTCCTCATCGTCGCAGTTGTAGCAGTCGAGGTACTAGTAGTAGTAGCAGTAGTAGTAGTAGTAATAGTACATCTCAATACCTACATCTACATCTAGACCTACATCCACATCTACACCTACAGCTACATCTACATGTACACATGCATCTACATATACATCTACATCTACATCTACACCTACACTCACATCTACATATACATCTCCACCTACATCTACACCTACATGTACATCTACATCTACATCTACATATACACCTACATCCGCATCTACACCTACACTTACATCTAAATCTACATGTACACGTTCGCATTGGTTTTGCTTTTGCTGTGCATTGCCTCTGCTATGCTATGCTATGCTGCGCTGTGCTATGCTAAGCTATGCTCGGCTATACTATGATATGCTATGCTGCGCTTTGCTTTGTCTTGCTTTGCTGTGCACCCAGCGACAGCAGGCTGTTCAGCACTGCTCGCGGCTCCCGCAAGGGCTGCAGGCTGTTCAGCACTGCTTGCACTAGGTTCAACACTGCTTGCGGCTCCTGCAAGAGCTGCAGGCTGTTCAGCACTGCTTGCGGGGGCTCCGGTCCGGCCATCGAGGCTAGTTCGGCACCTGTCGCACATTGCTTTTGCTTTGCCTTTCCTTTGCTTTGCTTTTGCTTTTGCTTTGCTTTGCTTTGCGTTGCTTGTGCTTTGCTTTGCTGTTGCTGCTGTTGTTTTGCCTTTGCTTCGATGCTATGCTATTCTATGCTATGCTATGCTATGCTGCGCTATGCTATGCTATGCTATGCTGCGCTATGCTATGCTATGCTATGCTATGCTGCGTTGTGCTATGCTAAGCTAAGCTACGCTAGGCTATGGTATGCTATGCTGCTCTATGCTATGCTATGCTATGCTATGATGCGCTATGCTATGCTAGGCTGTGCAATGCTGCGCTGTGCTATGTTAGGCTATGATATGATATGCTATGCTGCGCGATGCTATGCTATGCTGTGCTATGCTGCGCTATGTTATGCTATGATATGCTGCGCTATGCTATGCTATGCTATGCTGCGCTATGCTATGCTATGTTATCCTATGATATGCTGCGCTGTGTTATGCCAAGCTAAGCTGTGCTATGATATGCTATGCTATGCTATGCTATGCTGCGCTATGCTATGCTGCGCTATGCTATGCTATGCTATGCTATGCTAATGCTGCGCTAGGCTAAGCTGAGCTAAGCTAAGCTAAAGCTCAGCTAAGCTAGGCTAGGCCAACCTAAGCTGATCTGAGCTAAGCCAAGCTAAGCTAGGCTAGGCTAGGCTAAGCTAAGCTAGGCTAAGCTAAGCTAAGCTAAGCTAAGCTAAGTTAAGCTAGGCTAAGCTAAGATGAGATAAGCAAAGGTAAGCTAAGGGGACGTAACTGGGCGAATCGTCGGGCGGATACTGGGGGAACCGCCCGGGCCGGTTCCCACTGCCCGGCCTTTTAAGCCAAGAGAGTAAGAACCCTTCTAGGCAGAGCCTAGGCAGGGAATTAATACTACTACTACTAGTACTACTACTACTACTACTACCACCATTACTACTACTACGACTACTACTACTACTACTATTACTACTACGACTACTACTACTACTACTACTACTACTACTACTACGACTACTACTACTACTACTACTACTACTACTACTACTACTACTACGACTACTACGACTACTACTACACTACTACTACTACTACTACTACTACTACTACTACTAACTACACTACTACTACTACTACTACTACTACTACTACT